CTGCTATTGTGTCTTGGAATGAACCAATCGCTGGGGACAACTCCGGTAGAGTGAACTTTACTGTTGATATTGGACCAGCCAGTACATTCCAAGTAGGTGATACTTTAGTGACGTACACAGCGGAAGATCCATATGGAAATACTGACATGTGTTCCTTTACAATCACTGTTCAAGGTAAGCCTAACATATAACATTCAGTGAAAATAACATTTGAACAAATCCAAATTTACAATGTACAAAATCGTATGTATTGTTGTTAATAATACATTATTTTATTGGTAGATAAAGAACCTCCGGTTATCAGTTGTCCTACAAATGTCACTTCAAATAACTACATCAGTGAGATGTTAAGTATAATATATGTGAAGACAGATGAAGGTCGTTCATATGCAACCGTCACATTGGATCCACCTATTACTAGTGACAATAGTAATGACAATGTTACGGTCGTAGCTGCACCATACCAGTCAGGTGGCATGATACCAGTCACCACTTCGTTTATTCAGATTGTCTACACAGCAACGGATGATTACGAAAATGCTGACACATGTGAATTTGCTATCCAGGTCTTAGGTAAAGCTTGAAAAATAAAAACTAAAACGCAATCCCCAAAATTATATTCAATATTTTTTTTATTGCGGAAAACGTTAAAATGTCATTATTTTTCCATTCAATCAATCGAACCTTTGTATAATTTTTAACAAACCTGGATGCACTAACAAAAACCTGTATGTAAACAGATACAAAACAAATTAACCTAGTGTCGATTTTTAATTACCATTTGTATAGCCTATTGAAAATTTTGACACCAAAGCCTAACAGAAGGAAATGTAAATATATTAGACAAAATTGGGAAAACTACACAGAAAGTAATTAAAGAGAATATTCTACATCTGGATGGCATTTATAACAAATACATTTTGGCAAAACGTAAGAACATACTTTGGCAAAACGTAAGAACATAATGAACGGCACGACTCGTCCTCTATATCATGCTTTTATTTTTAGTAGTTCCGGTAGCAACTACCACTCACCACCTATCTCTATAGAAATTCTTTTGTTTCAAACTCAATCCATTTGAAAATTGACACTTTAAAACATAATTAATTTAAGTCTAATTTAGATTTATGTAAATGTTGTTTAAATATCATGTTTTGATATTGTATTGTGGTTATATTTTTAATTTCTAATCTTTTACAGTATGTAATCTTGTATTTATTTTTGCTGTATTATGTTGTTTATATTTTGTATAATTGCCAGCGGAAACTAATTTCTAATTTTTCGGACAAAAAAAATTATCTTGTACCGTGTATTCTTCTTTGCAGACAATGAGGAACCAATTATTTACAATTGTCCAAACGATACAAAAGTAAATACTACATTCCGCCTACCCACTGCTAATGTTTCTTGGACCGAACCGATCGCTGAGGACAACTCTGGTAGATTGAACCTTACAGTTGATATTGAACCAGCCAGTACATTCCAATTAGGTGATACTTTAGTAACATACACCGTGGAAGATCCATATGGAAATACTGCTATGTGCTCATTTACAGTCACTGTTGAAGGTAACCAAATTTAGCAATCTAATGATACAAATTTCAAAATCGCATGTATTGTTAATAATTTATTTATGAATGAGGAACCGGCTATCCTATATCCTAACAATTTTACTTCAAACAATACGTTATTGATGAGGACAATTATTATATGTGAACTTATACGAAGTGTGTAGTTCATATGTAATATGAGAGTTGAGGTGTTTTTCCTATGTATTTTTTTTCTGTGTATTCTCCAATATATTTTGTGTCTCATCGTTTTTTGCATCCTCGTCTTAATTACTGTTAGATATCTCCAACAGCTACATGCCTTACAATGTCTATGATTGTTCAGTAGTATACTTAATTATTGATCCGCCGTTGTGTTTAATATCGGTCTATACATTATCATATTCCGATGACTCTGATAATATCACTTTTCAATTTACTGTAGATGTCAGAGATATGAAATGAATGGTAACATAACTATTTAACTTAAGGAAAAGAATGATTGATAAGTGTTTTTTTTTTTTTTTTTTTTTTTTTTTACAAAATCACATAATTATTTACGTAGATGAAGAAGATCCAGTGATTACAGGATGTCCAGATGACGTCGTCTTCAATACTACAAACATGTTACCATATACCAATGCCACATGGATAGCTCCAACTGCTACAGATAATTCGGGTAACGTCACCTTGAGTTCTACAAACGATCCCGGTACTGGTTTTGCAAGAAAAACCACCACA